GCGGGCGGATTCGCCCTTCTTGCGCTTGGTCTGCTTGGCGGATTTAACGCTGACGGTAGAGGCGCCGCCGGTGCGGATCTGCTTCTCGGCCTCGTCCCAGGCGGTGCTACCGTTGTTGATCTCGTATCTGGAGGCTGTGAGATCAGTTATTGTTCATTCCGAGGTTATGTTTGTATTTAGTGGGGGTATTGAAGGAGAGGAAAGGGTTTGGGGGGGAGAACGAAACATGGGCGTGGGCTAATGGAGGGGGGGGGGGACAACTAACTTGTCAAGAGGAAGGGCATCGATCAGAGCTCGCTGCTTCTCGCGCAGCTCCTCGTCGATCTGCTGGCCACCCTCGCGGAGCTCGTCGTCGAGGGCGGTCTCCAGGGGCTTGAAGCGGTCCTCCATCACCTCGTCGTGGGCCTCGGTGACCTCCTGCGCGGCGATGGCGGCCTGCTGCTGGGCGGGCATGGTCTCGGCGACGGCTCCCTCGATGACGGAGCGGAAGTGCGTGGACATCTTGCGGATGATCTTGAGGAACATGGCCAGCAGCTGGGAGGAGGGGAGGCTAATCTCCTTCTCCAGGGCCTCGAGGTTCTTGCGCTGCAGGCCGATGGCCAGGAGGATCGACTGCTGGACGCCCGAGAGGCTGACCTTGCCGCTGAGGCGGCCGGAGAAGTAGTACTCGGCGATCGTGGGGACCATGTCCAGGATGACGTGGTAGTCGAGGAGGTTGTTGGCGTAGCTGTCGAGACGCTTGAGGTCGAAGGGGGAGAAGGCGCGGTCCAGGTCGGACTTGGTCAGGGCCACGGGGGAGAAGGAGGTGTCGAGTTTGGCGCCCGCGTTGGCGGACTCGCAGATGCTGAGCGACAGCACCGAGGGAAATTCGCGGAACTGGTACGACAGGAGCGAGTTAAACCGCTTGTGGAAATCCCGCGAAAACGCGCCCAGCCAGCTGGCGTCGTTGGGGCCCGTGGCCAGCGTGCGCAGCATCACGCACGAGTGCTCGCCGGTCAGGTCGTTGGGGGTCTGCCGGAGATAGACCGGGGAGAAGGAGGACCGCTTCCAGAATTTGTGCAGCGAGGGCGTCAGACCGAAGCTGACGCCGAGGTAGTCCAGCGCGTCCGGACGGCGCTCGGAAAGCTTGCCGAATAGGGGTGGCATCTTGTGAATGTCCCGCACCTGGATGTTGTCGTCCAGGAGGGTGGCGTTGGCCAGTTCCTCGTCCGTCACGCGAACCATCTCCTCCGGTGCGTCAACGGCATCCTCCGACAGACTGGTGAACTTGCCCTCGTAGAAATCGGTGAGCAGCTCCAACGCGCGGGAGCCGTAACCCATGTTGAGGTATTCGGGGTTGGTGGCGATGCGGACCACGCGGGCACCGGAGAGACCGGCGAAGTCTTCATCCTGGTATTGTTGGCTGACCAGCCAAGGGATCAGGTCTCCTCCGGCGCGCTGGCCGCGGCTCAAGCTGTTGAGCACGCTCTGTCTGCTGATACGACCTTCCAGCGCAACCTGGATCACAACAAGGGGCTCGGGAAGCTTTGTGGCCTCCTCATCGATGGGCGGGACAAGGACAAATAACTGGTGTGCGGGGGCGTCACTCATGAGCTGGAGATCATTAGGGGTATTCTTGTAGTGGCTGGCCACGTAAAGGGCCATCATCTGCTGCAGGAACTTCTCGGAAACAGGGTGGAAGGAGAACAGGGTATCACGGTTGACTTGGAGCAGTTGGCACTGCGATGGGTGGGGGCAGCCCTGGGTGTTCATCCGGGACTTGGGCAAGGTTGCGTCAAGACACAAGACCTTGTTGAGCCACTTCTCCACCGAGTCGCCAGGAGCATAACGAATGGGTTCAGATAGGGTGATCTCCCGGAGCGAACGACCACCCAAGCCCTTGTCGGCGTTCTTGGCCGCTTTGCCGGTCGCCCGATCAGCGACGTCGATGTCCTCCTCGCCATTGGCCTTTAGTCCTCCTCTTGACTGCTCACGAAGCTGCTGAATCAGCTTCAAGGAAAGAGACCGACCAGTTCCTTCGTAACCGTTGATTGTGGAAGCCATGAAAACCAGATAAGGGCCCATCAGCTTGCGGACCAAAGGCAGGGGAATGGCGGCGGCTTCATCGATCACCAGCAGTTCGGCTTGGCCCAAAACATGAGCATCCTGGGGCTGGATGTACTGGATAGTCTGGCGGTGCTGACGGTGGATGTTGACTCGGACAATAGCCTTGTTGAAATCGGGGTTCGTCGACTGCAGGATGGTGTAATCGACATGGTCCATGTAGCCGAGCGCATCGAATCCCTTGAACACGAACTCGAAAAGAGTCTTCAAGTTTTCTGGGCTGGGCGATGTGATGAAGATGTTACTGTATCCGTGGGCCACGGCGGCAGCAATGGCAACACCGAGCGCTGCAGACTTACCGCGACCTCTGCCGGCAGTCAAAGTCACAGTGCTGCGGAGGGTTTTCTCGGCGATCGCATCCACGAAGGTAAGAAGCGCCTTGGCCTGGTCCACGGTGCGAGCCAACTTGACCAGAGGTCCGACCAACTGAGATTCTTCCAAGCTTTCCTTGATCTCCTTCAACTCCTTCTTGGTACCCGTGCTGTTCTCATCGATCGACTCCGGGGGTGGCAGGGGCTTGACATTCTTGCCTCCAGAGATGGGCAGAACGTTCATTTCGTCGTCCAGAACGAGACAGGAATCGCAGCTGCCCAGGGAAAGGATGAAACGCTCGTTGAAACGAGCCACCACATCGTCATGCGCCTCGGTCCGGTACCGTGAGTGGATGTCCATCGACAAGGTGTAGAGTTGCTTCAAACTGCTCATTCCCTTCAGCAACAGCAGAACGATACCACCTCCCTCCACCGTTTCGACCGTACGGGCGAGCAAATTGGGCGTCATAGCTTCGAAGTCTTGGAGAATGCACATGCCGTAGGTGTTACCGAGAATCTTCTCTGTTTCCTTGTAGTAGACATAACGGATCTGGTTCAGTGTGATGAACAGCTCGAACGGATCCTCCTGATTTGGCTCTCTGATACCACGCTTCACTTCCTTTTTAATCTTAGCTTCGCGCTTCTTGCGGTGACTGGTGAAGCCCAAGAGATCCTTCTTGTAAGCCCACAGAACGGATTTGTTCTGCTTGACATCGACGCTAGACATAATATAGTGCAGGTTGACGATGACATCCTTGGCGCGGTCGCCGACCACGACGAAGAAACTTCTCTTCTTCTCTTGCACGCCATTCCGGATAAGCGCCGGAATGCGCGAGTCGATAGCCTTGCGAGGCATTGTGATGCTGCGGTCTCTTCGAGGACCGTTTTTACCCTTATCGCGGTACGTTCAATTGAGTTCCGAGTCGAATGCTTTCCACCCGGCCGAGGAAAATTCGTCAAGACAGCGGCGGAAACCACAGACTGCGCCGGAAGTTGTATGTGTCTGTGAGAACCGAACGAAACAGCGCGCAACTGTTGATTGAGCAAGACACAGACCAGGTCCTCGAAAAGGGAGAGGAGACAGGTGGTCAGGTGTTGGGAAATTTGAGATCACACTCTCTTGCTGTAATAGCAAATGGCAACGGGCGGGTTCGGCGCAAAGAAAAAAAAAGTTATCGGCGACCGGGCTGCAACTGTCAGTAGTTACCGCCTACTGAAAGTGATACCGCCCTGTTGGCACGTGCCTTGCACGGTGCCTGAGTACGACTAGTCCCAAAGTGGTATGGTTGACTCTACGGGCTCTGCGGGAACGGTTTTTCACGTGATACTTGGCAAGGCTGCTGCCCCTCAAGCAGGTCAAACAGGAGACTCTCCATACCTCCGTCAATACACCCCATGATGGCAGTGTCAATTACTCATTGTTGAAGGGTCAATTGGGAACACCGCACAGGGAGACTACATGTCGAGGGCAAGTACTATCAATTCTGTGACAGTCCAGGAAGATATCATACAGCCATTCAGCCCCAGTGGTGGTGGTGGTGGAGCTGCAGGGGAAACTGACCCGTTGCTATTTTAGGGCCCGTGCTTCCCAATCCAGATCAGCCTTCGATTGATAGTATGAGTACATCTGTAAACCAGGAGAGGCGCATCAAACAAGATTTCAAGCATGTCATATAGGTATTGATGGCAGTGAGTCGATCGATGAAGCTGAAGATGATCACAGGAGCAGATTCCCGGTTGGGGATAGTGGCAGCTGGACTGGCATTGCCAGACGCGTGGACTTGTCTTGGGATTACGTCGATCAGTAGGAGTCGTGAATGGGCTGGACCCTGGCGCTAGAATGAACGAAATCATGATAGGAGACAAAAGCAAGTTGAACTGACATGGTTACATACCAGTCCCGGTGCTGACGTGCGTGAAAAAGAGACTAAAAGACTGAAGGCTTAATTGCAGCAATCTGGGTGGGAAAAGAGCAAGCACTGCAACCCTCGGATCCATGGGCCAGAACAACTTTCAATCTCTTGCGCTTCGTTCTACGGAGCAGTCTAGTCTACTGACTTCTTTTGCTGCTTGCTTGACGCAACCCCCAACCTTCGAGACCATGCCTTGGCATCAGTAGTCTCTCTTCTCGTCGTTTTTCCCCTTGCTCTTAGTCTTCTCGATTCCTTCTTCTCGGCCTCTTCCTCATTTCTCCTCCTTCTCCTCCTTCTCCTCCTTCTCCTCCTTCTCCTCCTCCTCTTCGGCCTCTTCCTCCTTCAATTCTTCCCCCTCTCTTTCCCCTCCTTCTCCCCCCCTTGGTCTCTCTCCCATGCTCCCAGGATTGCAGATTGGAAGGAGATATACTCGAGAACTCATAGAAAAGAAAAGACAAAAATCCCCTAGAGAAAGTGTTGACGTCTCCACTTCTTACCCGTGCGGGACTGCCCCAGCCATTCTCCTCTTTTCTTGTTCTTCTCCGTCTCCGAAACACCCAAGCCCGAAACCTCTTGGCCACACTGGGTCTCGTCCCCTCGTCACTTTTCCCTCCACGCGTTCTCTTTTCCTAAAGTCCCCCCCCCCCCTTCCCCTTCTCCTCCTTGTCGACCTAACTTGTCTTCCGCGTGGTTTCAATCCAAATTATGATTTGGATGTGTTGCATGAAATGAACAACCAGTCCATGTAAGAATGGCTATGCGACTTGCAAACTCATGATTGTCTGATTCGGAATGGTACACTTATCCGCTGAGACGGGGCTCAAGGCCTCTGTGGGGTGAGTTCAGTACTTCTCGCCCTCCCATCGGTTTTTCTTCCTGGGTCTTGTGCGTGCTAATCAACGTACAATAGAATCTTTCTGCTCAGCTGCACATTTCTCGCAACGTCTTACAACACTACTTTTGCTTTCGGTCAGTCATGTCCATGTAATAGAGAAATGCCTGTAGTTGGACGTCTCGGGGCGCATCGCAGCCACAGCCCGGCTCGCTAACACTTTCCTCAGATCATCCCCTCAACACCGCAGTGATAACATGTTTCATCGCTGCATTCTCCCTTCTGTTACTAAGTCGCTTCATCAACCGAATCCCGATTCCGTCATCCTCGGTACACAAGTACAGCGTCATACCTTTGACAGAGCGCGAACAAGCAATCGACGAACCTTCGTCGCCTATCAGCCTGGAGAGCAGCAGTAGCAGTATCACTCCTTCAAAAACGCGCAACCTGGCCCGATGGTTCAAAATTGGCCTGGTTTCCGTGCTTGGCTGTGTCCGCGTTGGTCTATATCGACAAATAACTGCAAACATTGAATGCGCGCCGGATGGCTACGCGGTAGGTGCGCCAGCATACAGAACAGAGGCAGACGTCAAGACTAACATCAATGCTCTGATCCTAGTATGCGATACCCTTCTTCATTGCTATTTATGATTACTGGCGCAACCAACGGGGCCGATCAGCTACGAAATGGACCGCTCCCGACGGCCCACAAAATGCGCAACTTCGCATGGTAGCGGCTATCGCCAGTCGCATTCATTACTTCGTCTTTCGCAGTCAACTAAGATATGTCGCGTCAGCGGCTAGCCTGTTGGCAAGCGGATATCTGGCGGTGGCATTCGATCAAGGGCGCGAATCGACGTATATCTGCGCCACTGTTTCAGGCCAGTATCCGCGCCTACACACTTTGAGAGTTTTGAGCGCCATCTTCGACTCTATAATTCTGATCGGTGCTGCGGAGCTGTCTAATGAAGGTGTACGACCTCGTGACGGCAGGAGGAAACAGACCTTGGTGTCCTGGGGATTTAGTTTACTCGTGAGTCATTCCTATCCCGGTCTGTGGATATAGGAATCTGACCATAGCGGAATTCAAGGGTGTGGCTGCATTCTGGGGTGTTATTGTAGCCTATCTTACTGTCAGGTCTCATGGCAGCGATGGTTTTGTCAACCCTCACTTCCTGCGAAGTGCTATAGGCCAGGGTGCGCTGGTGGCTTGTGTCATAGTCTCAGCATCTCAGCTAGTGAGTTTGTCGCATCGGGCCGCGCATTACGGACTTGCTAACTCAGTCAGATCCCTCACTATGGTGTTGTCGGGCTTTCAGTCCTGGCTGGCTTTGTCTCCTTGTATTATGCCTGGACTGCAACCCTTTTCGATGGACATCAGCCATTCCCACTCGTCACTGCTCCTCGTGCTTTCGCCGCTCTACTTTTGAACTACCTCGGCGGGTTGTCGTTTTTATACGCGCGAACGGTCTCGGAAGAGGAGCCGCAGTTTCTTTATCGGTTTAATATCACCTTGCGCGTTGCCTTGACCGTAATGGCAGGGATCGGCTTTATCTTCGTGACTCAGCAAGGCAGTGTCGCCCATCTGCATCCCATTGATCTGCTTATTTATGAGGGCAGGCAGCACCATGACAAATGGCTTCACAGGGCCAATAGCAGTCAAACTTTGGCCGATGCTGTCGCGCAGTACCGCCTGCAATATAACCAACATCCGCCACCGTAGGTTCGATTCTACTCGTTGGTGCATGCCTCAACTGACGTTGAACTAGGAACTTTGACAAATGGTACGAATTCGCCATGAACAAATCCTCCCTTGTCATCGATGATTTCGATGAGATCCACAACAACCTGCTTCCGTTCCGCTCAGTATCCCCGGCAGCAATCCGAGATATGACGCAGAAACTAGCCACAAACCCATACAATGAAATCGGCGCTATCAGCATTCGGAATGGCACGGCCAGAGTTCAAGAGGGCATCAAGCCTACCCATGCTTGGATGGTCATTAGTGCCGCCAAGATGATCGAGAAATTCGCCGAACACCTGCCAGACATGGATCTGGCTTTCAATCTGAACGATGAGCCCCGGGTGGCTGTACCCTGGGAGGAAATGAGCGCCCTGAAAGACCAAGCCCTTTCATATCCCGTGCTACAAGACGAACGCATACAAAATGAATGGTCAACCGGCCGTAGCGACCAATGGCTGCCGATCGAGCCGGCTGATCAAACGCACGACACTATGTTCGTTGACAATTCATTTAAGAATATCTTCGACCGTTACGTGAGCGCGACTTGTCCTCCATCTTCTAAGGCACGCTCTCAACGCATATGGGACCGCCGCCATCTCTGCATCAGTTGTATTCGGCCACACTCCCTGGGCGAGTTCCCATCTGACTGGGCCCTGGCGACTGATATCTGCCACCAGCCGGACCTGGCCCATCTTCACGGCTTCTTCATGTCACCAGCCTCTTTCAAGGTCTCCCAAGAACTTATTCCAGTCTTCAGCCAGAGCGCGATCGCCGGATTTGGCGACATTATTTTCCCAAGTCCGTGGAATTACGTCGACAAGATCGAATACAAACCGTCGACAGACTACCCGGATGCAAACTATACCGACAAGTCGAACACCTTGTTCTGGATCGGCAGTACCTCTGAAGGTATCAGCCATTCAGGCGAATGGAAAGGCATGCCGCGACAACGCCTCACCCACCTAATCAATAACAACACGCACAACCACGTCTCCGTTTTCCTACCCACAGCGGACAACACCACCGACTCGTACCGCTACCAGATCCTCCCTGGCACCTCTCCTTCTTCCTCCCTTCACCTCGACACAGCTGTCCAAATTCTCGACCCGATTGTCCGCTGCAGGCACCAAGACTGTGAGGACCAGACTGCCGAATTCGGACTGACGGGGCGAGTGGACTTTCAAGCTCACTGGCAGAACCGGTATCTCTTCGACGCCGACGGCGCCGGCTTCAGCGGCCGCTTCCTTCCTTTTATGCAGAGCCACAGCCTCCCCTTTAAGACGGGACTGTTCCGCCAATGGTTCGAAACGCGCATCACTCCTTGGCTACACTTTGTGCCCGTAGATGTCCGCCTCCACGGCTTGTGGAGTACCCTGGCATATTTCTCGGGCGTCGAATCTAGCGACCATTCCTCCACTCCTGAGAAGAGAGCGCTCCTCAAGCCCCACGATATCGAGGGTCAATGGATCGCAGAGGAAGGCCGGAAGTGGGCGGCGCAGGTGCTGCGGAAGGAAGATATGGAAGTCTACTTCTTCAGGCTTCTGTTAGAATGGGGGCGGCTGACGGACGATCGACGAGAGGAATTGGGCTACAAGCTATAATTATAGGTATGGCCCCCCGTGAGTGAGGGTCATAAGCTATCTCTCATCTACCTATTTTGATGATAATGATGCAGTTTGGTGGGAAGAGGAGGCGACGGACATGTGTAATGACTATACTATCTATTGTAACTTTGTGTTGATTGCTGTTTGATCTATTTCTTCGACTGGAATATATTTTAATTTACTTACTGTGAGGACTTCTTATTCAGGTGTGAAATATTTTGATACTGATTTGACTCGTTTTTAATACGCTTGCAATAACTTGTAAAACATGTTTTTCACCTAATTAAAACACCATTGGTAATGCTACTGAGGTGAATACACCCATACATTGGGGATATTCTTGATTAATCTCACAACTCGTCATGTTCGGCGACCACGGGCTTCTCTTCTTCCTGGGCCTCCTCCACCACGATGACACCCTCGGGCAACTTCTGCTTGGACCCCTCCCCAAGCCGGATGGCATCCACCCACGCGTCGACGCGCTCGACGCTGTAATCAGCCTCGGCGGGATCGTAGTTTCTCCACCACCCCCTCCGACCGTTGACAGCCACAATTTCCAGGTCCTGTTCGGACAGCTCCAGCGCCGCGCGCAGGGACTTAACCGCGCTGTTGGTGGCCGGGACACCGTACAGAGGGAACAGCTTACTCTTGTGCAGCGCGTGCTTGTGCGCCACCTCGGACAAACTGGCCAAAGCGACTTGCGCCGCCACCGAGCTCTCCTTCTCGTCCGGTTGTTGTGGCTCTTGTTCCTCAGGAAGAAGGGCCAACACACAAGTGCCGGACTTGGGCGCCAGGCAAGCGGCGGCAAGGGCCTCCGGGGTCAACAGGAGTTCAACCTGAGGCGCGGGAACAGGAGCCGCAGGGGCCGAAGACTCCTGTGCCATTGTGTCGTTGTCGGGCTGGGCCTCCTCTTCTTGTTTCGTCTCCGCCTTCTTCTTCTTGGGAGCCGAGACGGGCGCAGGATCGGGGTTCGGCGCCGCGACCTGGCTCAGGAACTCGACGAGCGGCGCCTTCTTCAGCTCCCCGCCGTAGACAATGGCATCCTGCTCGCTGCCACCCGCCGGCACCAGCACGAGCGTGGGGAACGCCGTGACCCCGAACCGCTCGACGGCCGCCGTCTCCTTGCTCCGCACCTGGGCGACCTCGATCGCGCCCAGGAAGTCAATGGCCAGCGCGCGGATCAACGCGCTGGTGGTGCCCTTCTCCGTGAAGAGGATCGCTTTGGGGGATGCCGCAGACGCCGCCGCATCACCCGAGGTCGAAGCGAGCCAGCTATCGAGATCCTTATCGGTCAGACGGCGCACGTGGTTCGGGATGCGGTCGACGACGGCCTCGACGATGGCCTTGGCAGTGCGCGCGCCTTGGTAGTCCTCCACGCGCGGCTTGCCGGGCTTCTTGCCGGGGGTCACGATCTTCAGCGTCGGGAAGCCGCGCACCCCCATCTGGCCGCAGATGGGCTTGTTGGCGTCCTCGTCGCAGTTGATGGCGGCCACCTTGGCCAGGCCGTCGAGGTTCTTGGCGGCTTTCTCGTAGGCGGGCTTAAGGTTTTGACAGTGGCCGCACCAAGGGGCGTAGAATCTGGAGGGTTGGGGGTTTAGAAAGGCGAATTGTGGTGTTGGTGGGTTGGGAGGGGAAGCATGGAGAGGAGGAGGAGGAGGAGGAGGAGGAGGAGGAGGAGGAGGATTGGCTTACTCTACAATCTGCGAGGGTAGGAGATGTGTTAGTTCGGGATTAACCTGGGAAGTGAGGTTCACGATGGAGGCTTACTGATGTGTGGTTCGAGTGGGCAATGAGCTGGTCGTAGTTCTTGGACGTTACCTGCAGCACAGGGGATTTCTTGGTGTACAGTCCATCGGCTTGGACGGGCAAAGCCGCCAGCAGCGACGCGGCAAGGAAAACAGCTGAGCTGGGCGGGAGCATTGTGAGGATGTGCGGTTGTCTTGACTACCAGACTAGATGAATGATACAAGTTCAGCAGTCTAGGAGATGTACTGCATTTTCTAGACAGCAGTCAACGTGGGGAAGGAGAAGGAAGATTGAAGCAAGGTGTCCTGAAGCTCTTGGCATGTGACATTGACTTGGATTAATTGGTTGATTTTCCATGTATGTATACACAGGGAGCGTCTTCCCACCGCCTCTGACTCTGGGAAGTTTGGCGGGCAGAACTGTCAGATAGATCGCTTGATGGAGCAGGCGGTGAGGTGGACACTCCTGTCATCCCGCATTCTGGCGAGTCTCTGGATTTCCGAAGTAAACACCACCAAATCCACAACCAACCAATCAACCAACCACCAACAAACAATTTGCCCTGCAGGCTCAAATGCACTCTTCCCCGCTTTTGCACCTTTGCATGACGCTTCCATGGCTAGCTAACTGTCGACCTTATTTGAGCGTAGCTCAATCATTGTCTTATTACCATCGCCTTCACATCTCCGTGTTTCCATGATCACACGACATCTCGTAACCCCGCAAGTGCCCGTCAAACCATGTCTGCAGATATGGAGTACGAGGGCACCACGACGACCCTGACAGCTTTACCCCGGGAACTCTTCTGGATGGTCTTCAATCAGCTCTCGCCTAAAGACATCATCACTTGTCGTCGGGTCTGCAAGCTATGGAATCAGGCTTTCAGTAGTCCACTGTACCTCATCCCGCTGCTGAGACAGCTCTTCCCTCGAGCTCGAGAGGTGCGGGAGCTCGACCACGAGACGGACACGGACGATTCGCCGCCCGCAGTCGTAGAGGACGATCATTGGCGCAAACTCTTCGACCAGATCGCGTCTCGATACGACCACTTGCGTCGCGGCCAACCCCAATCCGTACAGAAGTATAGATTATGTGACGACTTTGGCGTCACGGGCGAGCGGGAGTGGTTCCCAGTCCAGCCGTGGGAGATCCACGCCAGCCAACTCGTACAGCGCGTGGACTGTCTGTTCTCCGAGTCCTTCTGGTCCTACGAGGAAGGCGTGGTGGTGTATCCGAGTGCGGACCATGCCTGCTTGGTGCTCATGGACCTGGACACGAGCCGTCGGTTCATGGTGCCGTTCATCATCACCGGCAAAGTCATCCGGCGCCTCCGCCTGCAGAAGCGGGTGCTGGTGGTGGAATGGGCCGAGCCCAAGGCCTTCCACTGGCTCAACGACAGCGACGGCGTGCATCGGCATTTCGCCTCCTCGTTCGACGTGACCCAGTCGCCGTCGACCGGCACCTGGAGCATCACCTTCCGCAACGAGTGGAAGATCATGTTCCTCGGCCATCCGCTAAGTGAGAGAGACCGGTTCTACTCGACCCACAGCAAGACGCACTATGCGATCTACATCTGGCAGCCGAACCGCAGCCTGTACACAGCCGACGACGATGCCCCGATCGAGTCGCTCTCGGTCTGGGACATCTCCGCCCCGTCGTCGTACCGGCCCTCCCTGGATCCCACGGGTCGGCTGCGCGAGGAGGCCAAGGACCAAGGGCCCCCGATCGTCTCTCGGTTCGGCTTCAGAGAGCTGGGCTTCTATTCTGTGCGCCAACGAGGTCTCCCCGGGGTGCAGTGTCTGAATATCACGGACGATGATCATTCGATAGAAATTATCGAAAGCCGATGTCCAGAGCCGCAGGTACGAAGGGGTCCAGCGGATTGGACCACCGAGGTGCGGGTGACTACAATCCCCTTGGTCGGAGATGGCCCTGCTTGGAGACGAGCGGCGGATGTCTCCCTGCCACCTTACCGCGGCAACTGTAGCTTGCAGACGGGTCCCCTTAGGTCCTCTCCATGGAATGAGCCAACCTATGCTATTGTCTCGGAAGCGTACGACGAGAAAGCCCAAGTGGGGTATTGTCTATATATGTCTTCGACCCGGTGGCCGTTCGACATGCGGATGCTTCTGAGCATCCAAACCCCTACTTCACACACCAGACTCATGCAGGATGAGGCATTTGAGCTCACTGGTCGAGGCAAGATCTACGGAAATGAGAGGTACATTGTTGGTGAGAATGGGAATCGTGAACTGGTCGTATTCAGATTTGATAGATAGATAGATTGATTGATTAAGAGTTCGCGTAAAAGAAAAACCTGGTCCATATCAAGAATTACATGCCAAATCCCTTTCTCTTCGTCATTTCAGCTCCATTATATGTTCACCATAGTTAGATTTCATCCCAGGCTACCAGACACCTGACCACGATTCTAAGTAGCCGGCGCCGTAAACTTACACGCCACGCACGCCTCCAGGCCGCAACCGGGGCAGGTGAGTGTAAAGATCGGCTCCCACTGCCCGCAGACCTTGCACTCCGCCTGCCCATAGGCTTTGTCCCAGTAACCCAGATGCAGGCATTCGTCCTCGTCGTTGCAGCCACGCGTCGCCGCATCGCGGAACGTACGCCGCACGCCTTCCATCCACCCGCAGAAGGTCTCCAAGATGATCCCGCGGCATTCAACGACCATGTCGTCCGGGGTGTAGCGGCCGTCGCTTCGGTTAAGCTTGGACTCGAAGTAGGGGAGCAGCGGCGTGAGGTAGGCGCTGAGGCCGTGTGGGGGTGCTGCGATGATGTTGGCGGGCCGGGTTAGGGAGTCGGTCGACATGGCCAGGTCCTCGTTTGCAGTCACGAAGTCGGAATCGGATTGCTCTGCGGCGGCTGGGTGCTCGGCTTTTGTATCGTAGAAGTGGTAGGTTTCGGAGTGGGAGTCGGTTTCGGAAGGAATGTTGATGTAGCCATTGGCGGTGTTTGAGGTCTTTGGTGTGGGTTGGGTGTGATCGTTGTGGTTGTAGTTGTGGACTGTCGAGTTGTCTTCAAGGTCTTCTCCTTCGTGACCGTCGATTGCATCTCCCTCGGAGTTTTCCTCTTCTTCGTCTGTGTCTTCATCGTCATCGTCGTCGTTGTCGGTGGTGCTGCGTTTGGAGAATTTGTTTGGCAAGCTCATGCCCCAGGGCATCTGCCCAGGATAGCGGAACCAGTCCTCTTCATCGTCTGCGATACCCTCGACCCTTCCACACATGCATACTTCTTTCCGCTTTGGGCCAATATCCTCTTTGCAGAACATCTCGTGGAAGACTTCGCCCCGGGGGTTCCATACTATTCGAACTTAGTATGGCCTTGAAGACTTGCTAAAACCAGGAGAAGCCGGCTAGACTCACACATTCATCGTTCTCCTTCCAGCCAGCGTCTTTGTATCCTTGCGTACGGTCTGGCTGTCCATCCAGATCCACCTTGTCCTTGCATTCTCCCAGGTCATCGTCCGCTTTACCAGCCTGTGAGTTCTTGTCTTCCACCAAGTCCAACAGATCGGCTGACTGGTGGTAATCTTCAGGGACGAGCTCAGTGGCAGGCCCGGTGCTTCCTTTGCTGGCCACAGTGGGCATCTCTGTGTGGTCATTGGCGTCGTCTTCGAGATCAATCAGAATACCCATGGAGGTGCTTTCCTCCTGCCCATCGGGTTTACCCTCTGATAGGAGGTCAGCACTGTCCTCTTCGTCGGACTGCTCCTCCTCGCTGTCGTCCTCCTCTTCCTCTTCCTCTTCCTCTTCGTCTTCCTCCTTCTCCTCCTCTTCTTCTTCCTCCTCCTCCTCCCCCTCTTCATACTCTCCCTCCTCTCCCTCATACTCCTCGTCATACTCCTCCTCGAAATCCTTCTCAGACTCCTCCTTATTCTCCTCCTGCTGCCTTACCCAAGAATACTTCATAGACTTCCAGCCCGCGTCCGGATTCAACAGACTAGCCATCCGCCTGGCGCGCCTCTCCTCCTGAGCCTGATCCTTAGCCTGCTTCTCCTCCGACCAATAAGCCGCCTTATCCGAATACCCAATCCAAGTTTCCTCCTCCTCTTCCTCCTCGTTCACCTCTTCCTCCACCCCCTCCACCCCCTCCACCCCCTCACCAGCATTTTCCCTCCCCCTTGCCTGCTTCTTCTTCTTATCCTTCTTCCTCGTCACCACACACCCACTTTCATCATAATACCCCATTGGCTCCTCCGACGAAGAAGACCAAGAACTCAACTCATCATCCACCACCCGGCCCGGGTCATACCCCTCCCCTTCCCCATCTTGCCCCTCCTGAAACAACCCCGCGGCAGCGGCAGCAGCAGCCTCCTCCGCCTCCCGAGTTTCCCGCTCCCGCTCCCGCTCCAGCTGCTCGCTATACTCCCGGTCTCGACGCATCTGATCGATGATCTCAATGGACTCCGGCGCCGTGGGATCCATGTGCACGCTGTGGCGGTAAGAGGCCTCGTACCGGCTTCGGTTATATGGGTCATCGGCACGATATTGCTGGTGGTGGTGGCGGTGGTAGCTGCGACGAAAGAAGGCCCCCGCGTCTGCGGTGTAATTCAGGTTGCGACTGCGGTGTTCATCGAGGGCGGCATCGTGGATGGCGCGGTGGTTGGGGTCGCGGAGGGTTTCAACGGCGTAGAGGATCTGTTTCCGTTTTGGTGGGGTTTAGCTTCCGATAATGCTTCTATGAGGGGTGAAAGAGAGGAAGGCAAGGGTAATCTGATCTACAGAAGAGGGGGAGTTGGAAAGACGAGTAAAGTAAAAGCGTGTTTTGTTTGGGTGTGGGTGTGGTGGGTTTATATGCGTATCTGCGTAAACCAGCCCAGCCGCACCTGCACTCACCTTCTGGAACGTCTCAGCGTCTCCTCCCTCGGTCTTGTCCGGGTGATACTTCAGAGCGAGGCGCTTGTAGGCGCTGTTAATCTCTTTGAGGTCGGCGTGCGGGTGGATGTTGAGGGTTGCGTAGCAGTCGATGAAGGTGGAGGTGGAGAAGGCTGGGGTTGTCATGTTGCCCGTTGGATGTGTCGGCGGTGGTGGTGGGGTGGGCTGCATGCGTTCTTGCTTGGTGGGATGGTTTTTGGGGCTTTGGTTTGGGGATTCGAGAGGTGAGTTGGGTGAGGTTGGTGGGCTTGTAATGGAGGTGCGAGATTGGGAAAATGATTGGGGAAGATGAAATGAGGCAATGTAGGCGTGGGTAGGCTTGAGGTGAAGGAGGCAATGGGATTTGGGAGATGTCGAGGTGTTGGGGATGGAGGGGTGTGTTTGAGAGGGTTGTTGTGATTTGTGTGTCTCAGAAGTGTTTGCGCTTGTTTTGTTGATGTAGACTACCTCGATGGATCGATTAGGTGGGTGGTCGAGACTGCAGTGGGTGACAGGCGATAAATTGAGGATTGGTAGAGGAGGGAGAAAGGCAGGCAGACTGCTTTTATAAGGTAGAGAGTCCTAAGAATAATAGGAGTGAATCGGCGGTCTTGAGTGTGCACTCATAGAGGGCATAGCTATCTGAAGGTCAATAAGACTGAGAACACATTCACACTGGTGAACTGCGACAGCTGGACAGAGGATGCCTATGAACAGTTATCTCAGTTGTGAATCGATACCTCAGTTGTGAATCGATACCATATTGAATATTCGATACAGATGCAGTGTGCAGTGTGTATGTCGATGAGATAATAGATACTCAAAGTGAATTCAAAGCTTCAGCATTATACTCACCCTGATAGTGTCAATATAATGACAGCATCGCATTATTTCAAAGCATCAAACTCTGGATAGGATGGTTGATTCACTTCATTCATCTCACACAAAAATCCCCTGGACAAAGAAAAGATAGGATAGATTTTACAGGCTGGAAAGCATCTAGGTATTTATGAGTAAGTCTACACACATGGTGACTCCTCCCCACAAAAGCTTCAGAAAAGCTTTTACATGTCCGCACTGGCGGTGGCACCAGTGATAATCTCGACCAGCTCGTTGGTAATGGCGGCTTGACGCTGACGGTTGTACAGAATCTGGAACCTGCAATGCATTAGCGTCGTTCCCTCGACGAGAGACGGCAGAACTTACTTGTTGATCATCTCACCAGCGTTCTTGGAAGCGTTCTCCATGGCATTGCGACGGGCCTTGTATCTGATTAGCATTGATTCATGGCGTGATAGTTCAACAGAAGCGACTCACAGAGATCTCGCAGGCGTGACCCTCGGCAAGAGCCCAGAACAAGCTGTTGGCAAGAGCGTACTCGCGGAGGTTGGTGAGGGTCTCCTCATCAGTCTCGTAAGCAGAGAGGTTGGCTGTAAAGATCATTCAGCATGTAGTTCACTTGACTGCAAAAACGGCTCAAACTCACGGGACTGAGTGATGGCCTCCTCGGAGAAAGCCTCAACGGTGGCGGGCTCGTAGCTCTGAGCGTTCAGGAACTTGTTGTAGATGATCTTAACGCTGGCGTAGTCCTCGGGGAGCAGAGCGATCTGATCGGCGATGGCCTGAGCATCGGCGAAGGTGGGGACGTCCTTGCAGACGTTGGCGAAGCTCAGGACGATGGCGTTGGCGTTGGTACGGGACAGCTGAGCCTTGGCCTTCTCACCGAGGACGACAATGTCGGCGTTGGGAGTCTGCTGGAGCATACGGCGAGTGGCCTTGCTGAGACCGGAGTGGATACCACCGCAAAGACCCTTGTCGGAGCTGGCGATGACGAACAGAGTCTTCTTGTCCTCGAGGGGCTTGGTCTCAGCCTGCTCGAAAACGGTGTTGGAGGTCTGACCGTAGCTGCGGGACTCCTCCATGGCCTTCTGGGCGCGGGTAAGACGGGTAGAGGCGATGACCTTCATGGTGTTGGTGATCTTCTCGATGTTCTTGATGGACTTGAGACGGCCCTCGATTTCACGCAGAGTCGCGAAGTTGGCGGCGTTGGGAGGAGCAGTGCTTCCGGATAAATCAGCCATTGAACCATCTCATCAACCAAAGCTCTTCAATTGTTCCAGGTCGATTGATATTGGCGAGCCAATGCACAATGGGCAACAGGCTGTGGGTGTGGGTGTGGGTGTGGGTTGTGTGGATGGCCCGGACTGAGGGAACTTACCGGGAGACCGCAATGCTACCAGCGCGAACGGCCGGACGAACAGCACGGGAGAACATCTTGAATGTGGAAAAGAACCGTACGGTCGGATCTAAGACCAACGATATAGCAAGTTGTGGAGGGAGGAGGGGTGGGGAGGGGAGGAGGTCAGAGAATCCTCTTTTGGGGCTGGCGGATGAGAAGTCGGTGGTTGAACTTGGGACTCCTGTTTCTGTTCTTCCGACAGCCGGCCAGCACGGGATTCCAGTCCACGCTAGTCCGGACTGGGAAGATGCTGATAGTGTGGTGAGTGTGGTGATTCGGGTGGCAGGAGGGACCTACAATGCAACTGCCTGTCAACATCGCAAACACTACAAACAGTCAGGTGACTTCGCCACTCCGATCTACCCACTGTACCCAGGCAATAAAGGTTCCTCAGGCATCCACAGTTCTCTCCGGCGCAAATGAAATGGAATCGTCATTCAGTTCTCCAACTGAGTGGGGATTGGGTTCCTCAGGCCAGTAGTTTTCTTGCCGCTTCTCGCGCTGGGAGTGGCTGGACGGTCCGGAGAAACGTGAAAGTCAAACTTGGAAACCATGAGCCTTGAGTAGTCCTTGCAAGTTGACTCTATGAGTCTATGGTCTGGAAGTAACTAACTAGTTAACTTAGTTACTTACTTACTGCTAATTCTTAGTAACAACTAGAGTTAGGTAACTTTACTACCCAGTACTGTAATCGCCTCAGGCCGCAAACCCGGGACGGCCTCGTTTTCCATTCCATTCCAGGTCCTCGCCTCGCTCTCGTCTCTTCTTCTCTCTCTTCTCTCTTTCTTCCCTCAGTCTTTTTTCCTCTCTTGTCATCTCTCCTGCCTCTTTCTTCCCCTTCTTTTCAGCTTCCCCATTCTCCATTGGTTGTTTCCCTCCCCTGCCCTCCATCTGATTTTCTTTCCCTCTTCTCTTCTCTTCTCTTCTCAGTCTCCCTCTTGGCTCCTCTCTTGTCCTTAGCGGCCTTCGTCGATGTATCTTCCTCCTCTGTGACGCTTCGTCCTCTGGTAGCTCTCTCATTGGCCAGACTCTCATTGATCGCATCCCTCCGTCAAGCGCCTCTTCCATTCGCCAACTTCAGCGGTTCAATAATCTCACATCCTTCGAGTTCCGTCTCCCGGATCGCCTCGTACCGGGCCTCTGGCTCTCAGCGCTTCTTCTATCATCCCCGTCGCCTTGCAAATATGAGCTCTTCGGACGATGACACCCCACTCGTCCAGGCCAATGGTCGCCATATGGGTGAGTTTCATCAATTTGGCATACATGCTTTCGCGTGCTGTTCTCGCTCCACGTTTTACTCAGTCTTCAATTCTCCCATCCTAATTGAGTGACATTTGCCTCAATGCGCCTACCCACCCCTCACCCCAACGTCATTACTTCTTCGCTTCTACCCTCCATTGATCACTCCAGTATATCCACTAACTTGACATGGAATGGTGCGACAGAGACAAACGGTCATGTTGACCCTGGAGTGTCAATTCGGTTCGGTCCGGTGAAATCTGAAAATGATGTTGAGATGGCGGATGCGGATGCTCAAGCCGGCGCCGCTTCGAAGAGGAAGTCGCGCAACAGTGTTGGTCAAATCAAGTCATATGCTGAGCCGGAAAGCAGCGAGGAGGATCAACCTTTGGTACGCCACACCTACCTTCGCCACTCCCAGTTTTCCATGTTCAACGTCGGTTACGAATCTAGTCAATCGGCTGACTTTTCGATAGAGCAAGCGTCGTCGCACGTCTGTTAAGCACGAGGACCCTGAGACGGATGATGACGTGCCTCTCGCGCTCAACGGTCGCAAACTCCCGAAGGCTTCCGAAACCGCCATCGGGGATGAATCAGACTCGGATGTCCCCATCGAGAGGAAGCTCGCTGCCGAGAAAAAACGGATCCAAGTGAAAGGCGAGAAAGAAGCCAAGTCCAGCCGCAGCACGGCTACTCCGAAGACCACCAAGGCAACAGCGGCTAAGAAGCAAACCAATGGCGTGAAGAAGGAGCCCGAGGACGCGAAGCCCAGTATCGTGAAAAAGACAGCCAAACACGTCAGAGCTCCAGAGAAGACTGCTGTCACCACCGTCAAGCGAGGAGCTGCGGCCGCAAAAGCCTCTGGCGCAAAAGCGACCCCCAAAGCAACCCCCGTGAAAAAGGAAGAGAGCGAGGAAGTTGAGGATGCCGACGAGGAGGAGGAGTATAAGTGGTGGGAGGATCCGACCAAGGGCGACGGCACGATCAAGTGGACTACGCTCGAACACAATGGCGTGGTCTTCCCTCCTCCTTATGAACCTCTTCCTAAAAATGTCAAGATGAAATATGACGGCATCCCCGTCAATCTTCATCCTGACGCGGAAGAGGTCGCCGGTTTCTTTGGCAGCATGCTGAACTCGACTCACCACGTCGAAAACCCCACTTTCCAGAAGAATTTCTTTATGGATTTCCGGGACATCCTCAAGAAGACCGGGGGCGCAACCGACTCCAAAGGCAACAAGGTTGATATCAAAGAGTTCTCCAAATGTGACTTTCAACCCATTTTCGCGTACTATGACATGAAGCGCCTCGAGAAGAAGAACTTGCCTCCTGCCGAGAAGAAGCGCTTAAAGGCCGAGAAAGATGAACAAGAAGCTCCTTACATGTACTGCATGTGGGACGGTCGCAAGCAGAAAGTCGGCAACTTCCGAGTCGAACCGCCGGCCTTGTTCCGTGGTCGTGGTGAGCATCCCAAGACCGGCCGTGTCAAGGCTCGAGTGATGCCGGAGCAGATCACAATCAACATCGGGAAAAACGCCCCCGTTCCTCCACCACCCGAAGGCCACAGTTGGAAGGAGGTGAAGAACGACCAAGAAGGCACATGGCTTGCCATGTGGCAAGAGAACATCAACGGAAATTACAAGTACGTTATGCTTGCTGCCAATTCCGATGTCAAGGGCCAGAGTGACTATAAGAAGTTCGAAAAGGCTCGTGAATTGAAGCACCATATCGCCCGCATTCGCAAGGATTACCAGAAGAACCTCAAGCATGCATTAATGGTCGAGCGACAGAAGGCCACCGCCGTCTACCTCATCGATCAGTTTGCCCTTCGTGCGGGTAATGAGAAGGGTGAAGACGAGGCTGAAACCGTGGGTTGTTGTTCTCTCAAGTACGAGAATGTCACTCTCAAGCCTCCGAATAAGGTTGTCTTCGATTTCCTGGGTAAAGACAGTATTCGGTTCTATGATGAAGTCGAAGTCGATGCGCAGGTTTTCAAGAACCTCAAAATCTTCAAGAAGGCGCCCAAGAAGGAGGGTGACGAGATTTTCGATCGATTGACGGTATGTTGCACTGCTCCTAGCTCACGCTATCATCGCAATCTGACTTCCTTAGACATCTGCACTCAACAAGCACTTGTCTGGTTACATGCAAGGCTTGACTGCGAAAGTGTTCCGCACCTACAACGCCTCCCACACCATGTCTACGTTGCTCAAGGAGATGAAAGCAACGGGTAACATTGCGGAGAAGGTGAAGGCCTACAACGATGCCAACCGCAAGGTCGCTATTCTCTGTAACCACAAACGGACTGTCGCTGCGTCCCATGCCAACCAAATGGAGAAGATGAGCGAACGCGTAAGCAAACCCTGCAGACACCTCATCAGAATTGCAGCTAATGTGTTTCCGGCAAATTAGATCAAGGGTCTTCGCTATCAGCGTTGGCGCTTCAAGCAGCAGATGCTCAACCTTGAGCCCACGCTGAAGAAGAAGAAAGGCGCCAAGTTCTTCGAGATGGATGAGGATATGGATATGGAATGGGTCAAGGAACACCAGGCTTTCCTGCTTGAAGAACAACGGCAGAAGATCCAGAAGAAGTTCGAGAAGGACAACGAGAAGCTCGTTGCTGATGGAGAGAAAGAAATGAAGGCAAGCGAGCTGAATTCTCGTCTTGAGGTCGTTAAGGACATGGAGAAGAGGTTCAACAAGGAGAACAAGACTGGCAAGGTGGAAGCCGAAGGCAAGGCTCCCACCGTTGAGAAGCTCGAGACCGCCATCAAGAAGCTCGAGCAGCGTATTGAGACGATGGAGCTCCAAGCTCAAGACAAGGAGGACAACAAGGAGGTTGCCCTGGGTACTTCGAAGATTGTGGGTTTTTTCCCCGTTTCCCTCTCTGCCAGTTGATCCGCCATTCATACTTATCTGTGTCTAGAACTATATCGACCCCCGTCTTACCGTCGTCTTCAGTAAGAAGTTCGACGTCCCCATCGAGAAGTTCTTCTCCAAGGCTCTCCGCGAGAAGTTCGAATGGGCCATCAAATCCGTTGACGAGACCTGGGAATTCTGATTTAGTTGTTTCTTGTGTTAGATCGCGCTCGAAACTTGGATACATACTTCTTACGGTTAAAGACTTCCTTCATGCTGCTTTAACTATCCATACTTTTTATTTTTTTTCCTCTCCTTCCCTCCTGACCTCTCTCTTGTTTTACCTCTCAATACGCGTGAATGCTTGGAAACAATGCATGCCATGCCCCCAATACATCCTTTGATTGCATTTCTGGAGCCTCGCGTCTTTTGTTTTTTTCTCTGCCTCTGATTTCATCTATCTATTCTTCTTTCTATTGAGAACCTTGGAAAGGAAGACTTAACATCGCACGAGAAAAGCCAAAAAAAAAAAAGAAGGGGAGCGAATGGAAACAACCGCTATCAAGGAGCGGGCCAGGATGGAGGTAGATAAATACAGTGACAAGATCATAAGATTCATATAAACATTATATATGTGGTACGATTAGTATAGTATAGGAACAATATCCTTGTTCAGTATACGTCAGATGGCTTTGCGTATCTTTTCTTGTCGCAGTTTAGCTCGGGATATCCCAATGACGATCCCTGGGATCGATGAACAGACCACGTGATGAGTATTTTCGAATCTCCCGGGTTCTAATTCTGTGCACAGTCTAGAAGCAGCGTTGTGGACGGGTAGACGGAAGGAATGTGTTTTCCTGGTAAATTGTTCTTTCTCTCACATCTTGATATCTGCCTTCGCCCGCCCCCCTTTGGTTTTAGCAAAACTACATAAACTTAACCCGAGAAGGAAACGAGAAGTTGAGATTTGCATGCTCAACGCAATGATCACACATGGATTTGAACC